GAGGCTTGGAACTAAATGAACTTTAAGGTCCCTTCCAAGTCATTCTTTGAACTGGAGCAGAAAAATAGCAAAGAGTTTGAATAACATTGCCCTGTCACCTCTATATTTTAGGATATGGCTTTGATCGGTCATAATTATCGAAACAGACTTGGTGTAGGGAGACAGACTCCTGCTATTGAAACTGCAAAGTGATGAAATTTGTATCTTTAGACAACATGACAATTTTTTCTATTTGGATTCCTGTAAGATTGAAAGGGAATGCCTGGTTTTTGCACGTGGGTTGTGGAATGTTTGTGTGAGACAAATGGGTAGGGAAATAATTTATGCTGACTACAAAACTAAGACTGCTATTTTTATGAATTCTAGATTATTTCGGAAGTAGTACCAGAAACTGCTTGCTTGATACTGTATTAAAGAATATAGTTATTGTCAAATTGTTCAGAAAAAGTTGAAATGGTCGGGAATTTTTCAGTTACTGTTCTGAGATAAATGGTACCTTAATTTCCTAAATACTGAGGATGTAATTTATTAATGCTTTGTCTTGAAATCCAGAACAAATGGTCTCTACTAAGTAACTTTTTCCCATGTTCTAAGACCATTAATGACCTAACACCAAGATTCAGAACAGTTGTAATTTGATAATGTAAGGGGAAATATCTTTCTAGAGAGAGAACTTCTCTAGCTCAGAACTATTGTTGATCTTCCTTATATAATATGTGCTTGACTTCTTGTTTAAACACTGACTAAAATAACTTTAAAATTTATAGTTACTTAGTACAGTTGAAGAAACTACAAAAGATGTATCTGGGCTTCATGCGAAACTGGACCGTAAGGAAGCTGTTGAACAGCACAATGCTGTTGTCCAAAATACATTTGCTGTACAAATGAATGCTTTGTTCAACAAAATACAGGATTCACTTAGTGAAAACAGTTTGAAGCAGCAACAGATGTTGACATCTTACACAAATTTTATAGGTAAGTGTAATACCTGTATCAGTAAGATAGGTAAATTTTATAGGTAAGTGTAGTACCTGTATCAGTAGTCATCCTGAATTTTTGCAATAGACTGCTTCCTAAAATGGATCTGTTTTAGGAAAGTGGAAGAGGCTTTATTTTAAGCAATGTAATGATTACAGTTGCACAGTTAATAATGTATCTTGGATGATCAACAGCCTTCCTGTGCTGTAAAGAGACAGGTGATGAGCAGTAAAAAAAGTTCCTGTCTTACAGGGGAACTCTTAAAAAATTTGTAACTCTTCTTGATTTCTTTCATAGGTGACCTCTTATCTACCAGTTCTTCCACAGCTGATATTCTTGCGTCGGTTATGTCAGCAGCTTGTGCCTCTGTTAAAGAATTGGTGTCTACAGAAATTTCTCACGTGTCTGAGAAAATAACACAGCATGAGAATCTATCATTGGATTGTAAAGCTGAGCTGCTGAGATTAATTGTTAGTACACTTACATACTCTTATGCTACTTAAATATATGAAACTATTCTTGATCGAAAGGGGGTTCTGTAAATATTATTTAGTTTTTCTGATGCCCTTTACCTTAATCTGCTGCAGCACCTGACCATGATTGTCCCTCCCTACTTCCTCTCCCATGTCACTGTCACAAGCTGTAATGTACTATATAGCAAATACTATCATAACAGTGCATGGATATGTATATAGATAGCTTCTTGCAAATGTAGATGAAGGAATAGCCATATTATGTTTTAATTTTTTTCTACTGCTGTTCCTAGGAGAAACATGAAACCGGTCTAGGAAGAGCGTTAAATAGCTTGTCACCGGTGGTAGAATTTGTTTTGGGGTTAAACTGTCGGTTTCAGAGTAACGTGAAGAAATACTCTGCTGTGGCTGACCAGGTAACGCACATAACTTCACTTGTGTTCTTCTATTTTATTGAATTTACAGATAACATGTTCTTTGTTTTTCTGCAGTGTGTCAGAGTGTTTCTGCTTTTGGTCTGTCCTTTTCGCCTTTATCCTATGAGTTCTGCCTTTTAACTCTTCCTTTCAGCCTTCCTTTTCCACTTCTGAGTGTGGTAAACTTGCTTGTTACCTATATTGGCATAACTAAATGCCTCAGTTGAATGGTGAAACATGGATGCTTAAATCTACATGTAACAAATATTTTATAATATGCATAATAAAAAGAAATCAACTTAGACAAGTCTTATCACTCCTATTTTTTTTATTGCTGTCATACCAAACTTTTTCTTTAGTCACTTTGATTCCTGAGGAATGTGATGCTTTATCTTGTTAACAACCATAAGTGCAAACAATGCTGCACTTATTAAAGTCCTTTACAGCTTTACTCTTTCATTTATTTTTTTCCATTTTGTAAAAAACCAAGTCTTTGTTTCTGGTGACTCCTTATTCTGACTGAAAAACTTTCCTCTTCTGTCAATGACAGCTCATGTAAAATCATCTCCCCTTGTCTAAAGGCTTTTTATTGGTTTTCAGACTTAGGCAGCAAGTAGTCCATGGCTTACCAGCTCTTCCTGTACCTTATCTGCTTTTCTGTTTCGTCAGCCTTGCATGCCAGATTTTGTGTTTGGAACAGGCCACACCAAGTTCCAGTCTCAAACTTCAGATTGCTCTAAGTGTTATTTTCTGCCTTTTATGTGCAATAAGTTATTAATTACTTTTGACATTGCTTGGGTTAGTTTGTTTCTATATGAGTTATGCTGGGGAAAAATATTCATTTCTTAAATAAAAGTAAATATCTAACTGTAAATTTTTTTTTCAAGATGGAGGACCATAAAAGGGAAATGGATACCTTCTTTGGAGGTCTTTCTCTCACTCTGAAAAAAATACGTGAAGAAGTGGACAGTGGATTTGCTGAGCTTCAGCATAATTGTGATAACTTAAAAGAAGAACTGGAAATGACGAGGTTGGCACATGCAAAGGTATCCTTAGGAAAGAAGAAATCCTAACACCATGTGTTTGCTTGCTTTGATTTAAACTCTTGGTAGCAATCGTACCAATATAAGTATAATGGTAGCAAACCATTATACTTATATTAGGACAATAACTTGATCTTTTCTGACAGAAACTTATTCTTTTCAGGTTTTGTTAGGCTGCTTTAAGTAGTTTATGTAGGAAGGTAACAAAAAAGACTTCCCCTTGCTGTGAGCCTGTCTGGTATATGTGTTTACATACATCTCCAAAAGCAAAGTGTCTTTATCTTGGCTACACAAAAATTGTACCTTCTGCTTTAGAACTGCAAAACTTTTATCTGCTGCACTTTTAATACAGGCATTCAAGTACCCTTTAAGAATGTTAAGAAGTGCAGAATAACAGTAAAATTTATGGCATTTTTCTTACTAGAGAACAGCCGAGTTCATGTCCTCGCTGCAAAGCCAGCTTGACGTGTTTGCTCAGGAGACTCAGGAGAACTTAACTAAAGTCCTCAGGAGAAATGGAAGCTTGAAGACCACCATCACTGCTATGCAAGAAAACGTTCACCTGTAAGAAGCAGATTATTTTTGCTGTACACTGATGCAAGATAAAACTGTACATGAAGAGAACTTCAGAATTAGATGCTCTTCATAATTTATGTGCTTATAAAGTCTCTTGAACAAGGTCTGTGTGTTAGAGCTGAGTTCTACCACAGGCTGTAGATCAGTTTTCTCTGGGATCATCTTTCCTTAGAGTAAACTAGCTCTGCAATGCTTTTCCTCAAACTTCTCTCCTGAGCATGTTGCAGATAAGAGACTGTCATTTGGGGATGAATGTCCCTCAGTGTCTGGACTTCAGATCTTCATATCATAAAGGCTTGAAGTATAATAATGTATCTATTGCAGCATGCTTCATTCAGTTGTAGACTGAACAACTCTAAGGTCTTGCCAGCTGCTGTTTTTAGTTTGTGGTTGGGTTTTTTTGGTTCTAGCTTGGGTTTTTTTTATTTGGTGAGGTTTTTGTTTGGTTTTTAACAAACCTACTGATCCTACTGCAGTTTATAAATTTACTAAAAGAGCAACAAGTTTATAATTAGCTGCTTTGATAGAATTGTACTATTTCACTGGTTCCAGTCTCAAGTATTTCTAAATGTAGATTGTGATAAAATCCACCTTTCAAAATTTCTGAACTCTTACAAATATGTTGTTGCAGGAAAACTACAGACCTAGTCAGCAGTACAAATTCCAATCACGACAAATGTACTGCATCTCTGGATAATTTCTCTCAAGAGCTCAGGGGCATAAATGCTGAAAACAAGATGATGCTGGAAGAATCCAGTGAGCACTGTCAACATCTTCTCAACAATCTCAAGGATATGTCTCAGGACACCAAAAACTGGTGTGAATTTACAACTGCTCAGATGGTCAGCTTTACTGATCAGCAGCTATTGTCCTTCAGTGATGAGAAACAGCAGTTTCAGTGTTTACAAAAGGTACTTACAGTAATTTGTAAAATAATGCAGCATTATGAAACAAGTTTTACTGTGGAATTTGTAGGGGGGAAAGAAGTTCTCAGTTACAGTCAGAAGAAAATTCTGGCTTTCTCTTTCACAGCAGACTCGTGTTACTGAGCTTAGATGCAATGAGAGGAAATATAGAAAGGTGCAAATAACCTCCAAAAATGGTGTCATGATTAATGCCATGCAACGAACTTGCATTTTCATCATCTTGGTAGTATATAATCTCCAATTCTAAAGCTTTATCTTAAGTAACATCTCTGGGAGATCTTCACAGGCTGTATTCTGGAGGATGCAAATGACTGTTGGTCAGATTGAATTAACATGGGAGAAAGTATTCCTTTTTGGTATCTACAAGTTCTGGCCTCTTATCTGGGAATTTCTTTGGTTTTATTCATTTCTATCACAAACTTTACTTCCCACCCTTCCTGTTTTATTGTAGTAATAGGTAATGAAATAGGCAAATCCAGGATTTTGCTTACTTTCAGAAAGAAAAGCTTAACTGGAAACTCTTTGCACAGAATCACACAGAATATTCTGAGTGGGAAAGGTCCCATGAGGATCACTGAGTCCTTAACTCTTAACTGTTAAAAACATTTGCAGTCTGAAGACACTTCTGTTGTATCTGTTGTACCTGCTAAACACTTCAGAAGTTTCATTTCAATGGGAATGGCTAAAAATGCATATTATCCTCTTCCTCCAATCAAATGCATAAGGCTTCTAGTGCTTATAGGGTGCTCACTTCCAATTGAATATCCTAATCCTTCAGGGTTGTGCACATAAGCATGATCAGAATTAGATGGCATCATCTTTATGAGTAGCTTTCTAAAATGATCATACTTTCTAAGAAACTGACTCTCTTGTGAAGATAACTCTCAAAATGAGTGTAAAACTGGCACTGAAACTTCTCAATTTGAGGTCTCAGTTGTTTCGTTTCAGATCATGTCACTAATCATGCACCGCATCTTAGAAAAGAGGCCATAATCTCACCTTTCCTGTTAACTTGGTGTTTTTAGCTGGGTTGTTTTTTTGTTTCATTTTCAGAAAAGTGAAGAACACTGTGATAAAACAATAGCTGAAATTGCTGACCGTAGTAGTAGACAAGTGGCTGCTGAGGGGAAGTTACTCAATGGCTTTCTTGATCAGATAAAGGTGGATAAAGAGATACTTCTGGAGCAGAAGCTGGCACTTAGCAACGAAGTACAGCATGGACTAACTCAGGTTAATGGTTTCCTGCAAGAGGATCTGAAAGTGGATATTCCAACAGGTATTTAAAGTAGGTCAGGGACAGAAGGTCTTGCAGAAAGCAATTTGAGTTCCAGAATCTGTAAGTGAATGTTAATGGGGACATAATATAACTGGCAGCCTTACACCTTTTCTTAAAATGTTTGCAAAGAATGGTGACTGAACAAAGCGTGATTTCTGTACTGAGTTAATGTAAAATTGGGGATATGAAATTAAAGCAAATGCTGAAAGCATTTAATAGTGTATGCTGATGAAAGACAATCTTCATTAAAGGGACAACTCCACAGAGAAGAGACTACTCCTATCCAGTCACACTCGTGAGAACAGAGCCACGGGAACTTCTGCTGGAGCAATTAAGGCAAAAGCAATGTAAGCTTGATGCTCTGCTAAGCAGCATGACAGAGGAGGTGGAGGATAATGCAGGTCAGGTATGTATATGAACAGCAAATGAGACTCTTGAATGAGGAGTTCACATCTTCTGAGGTTTTAATGCTGTTGTGGAGAGTTGACAAGAATCCCGGAGCTGTTGCAGCCTTTGTTTTACAGTGTACTTGGAGTCAAGTATGCTGAGCTTTCAATAAAAACATTCTCGTATTGAAAAACAAGCAATAATATTAATAATTTACTTTTTATTTCTGTTTTTCAAAAATGGAAATTCTATGTCTTTTATAGATCTGATTATGCTTAGTACATAAAGAAATTCAGACATCAAATACGCTTTTCTGAAAAACTTCTGTTTTAGGACCTGTTGGAAGAGGAGGGAGTGTTGCAAGAACCCAATGAAAGCCTTGCTAGCGACAAAAGCTTAGTGGATACAAATGTATACTGCCACACAAATGGTGGCATTCCTTTTTTCCAGGTAAATTCCACAGATATTTGAAACAGCTGTTCATTTAAGAATGAAGAAAAATTAATTTCCATAATAATGCTGTAGTTTCAAGTCACTTCTTGTAACTTAGTGTAGTCTAACAGCTTCTTTAGCAAAGTGTATTCTACAGGATTTAAACTTGAGCTAAAGTCACAGCAAATTCTGATGACAGTTAATACTGGATAAAATAATGCAAATTTCTGACAAGCTGGACAAACAGTTGAAAATTCATCAAATAATCCTGCATGAAAAAGTTGTCGTAACTTGCTAGACGAACACTTGTATTGATGGAAAGGTTGAAATTATGTGGAGGGTTTTTTGGTTTTTACTTGCTTCTGACCCTTTTGCTCTACCAATGTATCAGTGTAAACTCCTTGGTATATTTGTCTAGGGCTTGGCTTGCTGGGGTTTTCTTGCTGCGGATCCTTTAAAAGCAGCTGCTGAGCTTCTGTGTCTCTGCAATAAATCTCTTTAGTAAATGCAATATATTAGGAACCTTTTTCAGGAATTCTACCAATTCTTTTTTCTCAGAACACTATGTACTGCACTGTACATGAGCAACAAGTCTTCTTCATATTTCTCTTAACACTGGGTATTCTTTTTAAATCCCAGCAGAGAAGTCGTCGCAAAAAGGGTAAAGAGAACAAATCTGCAGTTACTGTGGAGAACAAAATGGAGGACACAACAGAAGAGCTTCTTCATGAATCCAAACATCCTTTAAGACTGCTGAACTAAGAGATATCTATTGTAGATCCCTGTTTTTAAAAATTTCTATCTCATTGTCTTACTGAGCCATAATGTTCTTGGTTATTCTTGGTCTCTCTTTGTTGTGATGTATTGATGCAAAATCGAATCAAAAGATTGGCCTGCTTGATGTCGTGCCTTTGTCCCATTTTTATATGCTGTGCTGGTAGCTTGCAAAGTATTAAGGGAAAAAAACCCTGCATTATGGTGCTGTTATGTTTAAATATACTTCTGTGTTGTTAAGTAAGATATCATTTTCTGTTTCTCAGATTTAAAACACCAGAAAGAGATATTGAAATATGCTTTGTCAGCGTTATCAGCTACCATTTTATAGATTAATTACCTGTAAATAAGGGTTCTAGTTTTGTACCTGCTTTTTAATCCAGTTGCTCTCTTTTAAGTTTGATACTTCAAATAAATTTTGATATATGGAAAACAAATGTATAAACACCTCAGTGAAACAAACTTACCTGACTTTCTTATATTGCCATAATATAAGAATAATATAATATATTTAACTAAAACATTAGCAACTCTGTCTTAAATCTTGTGCTGTTAGAAAAGGGTAGTTCTCTCCCTTGTTTCGTAATAGACAGTAGCTTTATTTCAGTACCTCTTCACTCTGTGAAAGCTAATCTCACTGCTGAGTCTGGGGGGGTTGGTTTGTTTGTTTGAACCCCACTGTTCTTGTCTTTCTCTTAACCTGCAGCTTTGAGGTGTTGGCTGGGGGGTACAATGTCAACCAGAGCTTGTGTATCATAGTCTGGCAGCTTTTCTTTTGAGATCTAGATACTGAACATTAAAACATACAAGCTTGGTTACAAATGCAGCTTCTGTGTTGTATAATAACAAGGCATTCCACTAATTGACAGCAGCAGTTTGACCAGCTGCTCTTTTCATGCTCCTTACATGGAAATTTGAAGAAAACTTCAAACTACAAAGAAGTAGATGAATAGGATTATGATGGGAATAGGGAGAGATGCTTGAAGGCAACTATTATTTACATTGAAGCACTATTCTTAGGTAATGGTCCAAACATGAGTTAAGAGATTGTTCGCTTTTCTATATCCAGCTTGCAGGCTTGATTGCAGGCTTAAGTTTCTTCAAATAGATGGTCCATGTATTTATTTGTCGGTGAGAAAGTATACGTTGGACACCATTTGGACAGCACACTGCAGTCCTAGTGCTAGAGGGAGACATGATTTCAAGTATATCCTTCCGCTGATTCTCTGAACTCTAGCATGAAAGAGACCGTTAATCACTTGTGTTTCCCTGAAACACCTATCTCGCCTCTTAATTTATCCTCTCTTTTGCTGCTGTGGGCAAAGCTAATTGCTTTCTGACAGCCCAATAGGTGGAAAAACATTAATTCCCTTTCAAATGCGTAAGAAACACAAATATGGTTTTCTTTTAAGGTTTGATGGGGAGGAGTGTTATATCGTCTTAGTACTTGAATAACAAAGTTGCTTGCTGTAAGGGGCTTGAAACGCTGGAGGCTGAGGGATTGTCTCTTTCAGAGCATACTTGGTGTATTGTCAAATTCTGGCACAAAAATTTCATGGGCTTAATTCTCTGGGGCCTAGGATACATTTTCCTGCACCATGGGCCTGTAAGTCATTTATTAACTAAAATTCAGTCTGAAGTGTTGATCCTACAGCTGTATGGAATGGCCTAAACCAGAGGGGAGAGGCTCATGCAAGTCTTTCTTCTTGCTATGCTGTCCCTCTGGAGTTCACAGGATTGGTTGTGAGCAAACTGGAATAGCCAGTACCCAAGGAGGTTTGCTTCCCCAAAATCATGACAGATTTTGTGTTTCCTGTCTTTATCCTCTTTGAAACTGTCTCCTCTATGGTGGGTGTTTGGTTCCCCGTGGTACAGGCACAAGCTCTTCTCCTTAACAGCTATAGAATTTTGGGGGCTGCTTGCCTACTTTCTGTTTTTCTAAAGCAGCCCTCAGAGTCGTGTTGTTTTTTGTTTGCAATACTGGCAATGATCTGTCGATCATTGTTTCATTGGCCTAGGTATCCAGAGGTCACACCAGAAAGCCAAGTCGGATGAAAAATCCGTATGCAGAACGTGTCCCAGCCTCTCTGTCCGTGCCTCCTCTCCCACTAGATGGCCCTAACACTAAAGGTTGGTCCAAGCTCAGGTACTGCCTGCTAACCAGGACTTGGAAATAAGGATTTTTCTAAGCTTTCTGTGAAGCATCTGTTGAAGAACATGTTTCAAAAAATAATATCAAATTTACACTTCCACATGGAGAATTCCATATTCAAGCTTTGGTAAGGGGTCTTATAAAGAGCTGTGCTTGTGAAAAAGAGGATCCAGTGTATGTCTTGAGCTTTGCTGCAGGGCCAGTAGACATTCTTGGTAACTAAATTCTTGTCCCGGCCTGGTTTCTGGGTTCCCCCCCATGTGGGCATTGCTCAAAGCAGAAAGCAATGCCTACTCGTTTTGGTCTGTTGTACAATATATGATAGAAAAGGAGTGTAGGAAAAATAAAGCAAAAACTGTTTCCTATATGCAGTCAGTGGAATTGTAGTCTAATCCAGAGAGGGAAAGTGGCACAGTCCAGGTTAGTGTATGTGGTGGGTTTGATTTTATCCTCGTATAAGGCATCCTTTACAAGAACAGTATGAAGTGATTTCCACTGAATAATAAACAAGGTCTAATTCCTGACTGACTTAATCCAGCTGAGCACGAGGGAGAGTTGTAGTGACTGCGGCTATAGCATATGGCCATGTTCTGAATAACCTGATGAGTGTTTTTTTGGATTCTAAATTAGTGCCAAGTGAGACAGCTCTTGATTTAAGCAAAAACTTACATAGAATGAATGCAATGTGAGGAAATGAAATAAGGAAAAAATATGTTTAAGTGTATGTAAAGGGAGAAATGTGGAGAGAGCAATAGGAGGACCACAAGAAGCACAGATAATTAAAGTCACCAGCTTGCTTCTCATGTGAAAAAATGAGCACTCAGGAGGAAATGAAAGAAAGGAAACTTCCTGCTTCCTCCTGGAAAATGGGGAGCTGGGGCACTTGCTGCATCAGAGTTGTTGGGGGCTGCAATGTTTATTTGAAGAGAGAGGAAGACTAAGCTGGCTGGCTGCTATTGATGGCTGCCTTTTATTTTGGGTATCAAACAATTGCATGAGGCTACAGAGGGGTGAGGAGAAGGTGCATAGTTGCTAGACTGCTTTTCTTTTTCCTGTTAGGTGTCAGTCACCATTGCAATTAGCTGTTAAATGGGCAGAGGAAACAAGAGGAAGCCTTTAACTCTTTGGAGTGATAAAAGAAAAAATAAAGCTAAAAAGAGCTGAAAAAATAAAGTTTAACGTTCCTTTTCCATGAAAAGGAGATTAGAGGGGAAAAAAGGAAGAGTTTTGAAGTTTGAGAGCATTAAAACCAGGAAAATAAACATACTTACTAACTATGTATATTAGAAGTTATACATTTTAAACAAGTGTTTACATCCACTTGACTACTATTTTTTTTCTCTCCCTGTTGCTAACTACTTTTCATGACAGAGGGCAATGTTCTTTAAACTGTACGCCCACCCATGCGGTTACTTTATGAAGTAAAATAGCACTAAATCATGCCGGGCCTTGCATTAGTAGGCTTTAAGTGACATGGTTTAAGTGACATAGGTGAGATGTAGACCACCTAGCAAAGTAGGCTGTTCTTATAGGTTGAACACAAACTCCATCTACAGCAGCATTGCTACACAGCTCAGTCTTGAAAATGTTAAAAGTGTAGTGACTGCAGCAAAGGGAATGTTTAAATCCCTGCATTCACAATACTTCTCAAATCATCTTTGGCTCGCTAGACAGGGGTCTATCTAACAAAAGGAGTGCACACCTTACAGCTGCACAAGTGCTCTTCAGACAGATAAAAAGGAGCAAATGCTTGGTCTATCAGTCCCTCATCAGGGAAGAAGTTAGAAACAGGCTGCCATTTTTTAGATGAGGTCTGAAAACTGTTCCATATTTCCAACTTTCTAAAACTTTGAAACAATTCAGTTTTCAGGTGACGCAAAGTTAAATTTTGTAAAATAATGGAGCTTAACTGGATTGCTTTCTTTTTCTCCAAAATAATAAACATATATAAATGTTCCCTTGACTACCTTAATGTCGTGGTTTTGCTTTTTTATTTTATACCAGAATGCTTTTGTGACTCTTGCTCTATTCCTAACTTAAACATTGTAATTCAAAGAATGAGGTACAATGACTAAAACTTTGAACTTGCCTAGGGCATTTCCTTTATTAAAAATTATTAAGTAAAGGGATGAAATAAGCAAAAATATCACATAACAGTACATTAGATTCCTTCAGAGCTTTCCAGTTCTTGTTGACATACATGTAGTTTTTATTATAATTTTATTCTGACGATTTCCAGAGCACTAAAGCTACTCTGTGAAGACTTTTTTTTCTTGTGATAAAGAATTGTATTTTCATTGGCGGAGGCTAATTTAAAAAAAAAAGATTTTTTTTTCCTAATTAACAAAGTTGTTGAAAGTGAAAAATAACAATCAGCACAAAAGAGTATCTGCTCTTTTACCATTTTTAAAACAAAATAAATACATGGTAAGACAATTCCCTTCCTCCTCATCCATTAAAGTAATAATATTGAATGCTGTTTCTCTGAGAACTGATTTCCCCACTGTGCAAGTCCAGTCTTTCTAAGTCTGCTACAGTCACCTGATTTATAGTAGAGTAGTAAGGTGAAAGATCAGAATCGCCATTTCCCAAAGTACACACTGAGTTGACAATGATGCTTAAAAAAACAAAAGAACAATTTAAGGCCTTGTTTGGTCTCCATGGCCAAAAGATTTCAAGGTGTTTGGAAGGGTTTGCCTGGAAGTTTTTTTCATCCCTCGTTCTGTATGTTCTTTCACAGGTTCTCCAAGCATACCTGCCTCCCCTACTTTGTTAAAATGACTTTGGGATCTTTCAGAATAGGCAGGATATTATTCTGCTGGTAAAAGACCCAGTGAAGCTGGCACTGACTGCAATGGCCACTGTATAATGGCAGTGTCCTTAGGCAGAGTGTGTATCACAGAAGGAGGAACTTTTTAAATCTCCAGTGGCACAGATGGCACAGATATCTATCCCCTGTATTCTGGTGAATCGTGCTGAAACTGAGCACCACTGCTCCCACTTTGAAAGTAAAAACTTTTAAATGTGTTTCTAAGTGAATAAATTACAATTTGGGGGGGGAGGGGGAGGTTGGGGTTGCATATTTTTTTTGTTGTGGGAGGTTTTTTTCTTTGGGCTTTTTTGATGATTTGGTTTTGTTTTGTTTTGTTTTTTGACACAGAAGAGATTAAGTAACCCCTGTTATATATAGATTGTTTGGGGAAACTGGTTTTTCACATTTCAATTAGTTTCCCCTAACACTCAAACTAGAACCTAAGCGACATTGTCATTATGTTCAGAAGGTAA